TGCCAGAATTCAGGTAGGATCCCAAACCTTGTTCTGCAAGCCAATTACAAACTTGCTCCTTGGTCCATTTGGCAAATGGTGTATCCAAGTCACTGCAGGAAAATGAACAAGTGCATGAGAAACAATTCAAAGACAATTGTGTGGCTTATCATCAATTTTTAACAACTCTACATTCAATAGATATGGAAAGTCCCTGGCGATACACAGTTGACCATGAAAAATTTAATTTTTAATGTGTATTTGGAGAAGGAAGTAGTACCAGAGTTGAAAGTTATCTTCTAAGACCACTGTCTTCATTTTAAATAAAACCGCAAAAGATTCAATGTGATTTAGCAAGAATATGTTCTATAGAAAAACACTAAGTTGAACCAACACAAGTCACTATAACCAGTTTCAACCAATGTTGTTTTAAGACTGTATTCCCAAACAGAAAACACTAGGACAAAAAAAACTCAAGTCTAACTGGAATTAACTTTGACAGAATTATGGTTTTTTTCCTGATGATAATTTATGGGAAGAGGACAATATGCTGCTATTGAGTATAAAATAGAGTAATCAAAATAAAATTTCTGTTTGCTTTTACTTAGACACAGTGTTCCTATTTGGAGGGAAAAAAAGTAAAGATGAACATGACTTTGAATTTTTTTTTTTTTAATGCATAAGGAAGTCCTTTATTGTATTCAAAGAGAACATATGGCAAACGAGATCACTAGGTATTTGGAAAAGGCAAAGGGAGTTTTCTCCTTGCTGAAATCTGTGTCCAATGACCTGCCTGTTGGGAGGGACTGTTTTAAATTTAGTATCAACACCTTGTACTGTGTGTTTGCCAACCCCACCTCTCCATGCTTAGAAGGTCAGAAGAATAGTTCTCCACTTTGATAAGGGTGATAAAAGTTCTTAAGAGTCTTAATACATAAAACATTACATAGCCTTGATAAGTCTAAGAAATGTGATAGAATTTGTCTTTAAGTATTTTCAAAGACTCCACTAGTCTCAAATATTTATTGAATGGTTATTATTTGCCAGATACTTAAAACATATTAACATTTAATCTTCACAATCACCTTTTGTGATGGGTCTTAACTATTATGACAAGAAAATTGAGAGGTACACAGCATGGAAGTCATTGTTTATGATCATCTGGCTAGTAGAAAGCGTAAGGACAGAAACCAAACCCAAGTTTCAACTTACTCTTCTGTGTGTGTGTGTGTGTGTGGGCAGGGGGACAGTGTGTGGCTGAAGGCCAAACTTAGGGTCTCACACAAGCTAGGCAAGCACTCTCTACTACTAAGTTGTATACCAGCCCCTAGAGTCTACTTTTAAGCACTATGCTATCCATGGCTATTCTTCATAATACTTCCGAAGCA